CACTCTTTCTCTTCTCCTGCTGGAGTGGTGGTGATGAGTATTCAGTCTTTTGTTTTGGACCCTTGGGTTTGTTGTCATTGTTGTTTTTAGTATTTTCTCTCTGTTGTTCAGATTGGGTAATTTCTGTTCTTTGATCTTTAATTTCACAGATTCTTTTATCTGTCATCTCAGGCTGCAGTCTACGTCTACCCATTTTTTTTATCGGTTATTGTATTTCTAAGTTCAAAAATTTCCGGATACTTTACTGTGTCTTCTGTTTCTCTGCTAAGACTTTGTGGTTTTTAATTTATTTCCAGCATGTCCATAATTGCTTGTGGAAATACTTTTATGATGGTGCTTTAGAATTCTTGTCCAGCAATTCCATCAGTTTCATCCTGGTTTTGGCATTTGCTTCTATTTTTTATTTAAGAAGAGGTTTTCCTGCCTCTTGGCATGGCGATTCTTCATTGTATCCTGGACATTTTGGGTATTAAGACTCTGAATCTTGTTTTTCTGTTTTAGCAGAGCTTTCCCTGACATGGTGCCCCAGAAGTAAGAAACTATTTCCTCTTGGGGCGCCTGGGTGGCTCAGTGGGTTAACCATCTGACTCTTAATTCGGCTCAGGCCGTGATCTCAGGGTGGTGCGATGAAGCCCCACGTTGGGCTCCATGCTGGGCGATGAGACTGCTTGAGATTCTCTCTCTCCCTCCCCCACTCTCTCTCTTTCTCTCTTAAAGGAAAGAGAGAAAGAAGGGAAGGAGAAGGGAAGCTGATTCCTCTTACTGCCGTGTGAGGATGAGAGCCCCAATTCCCCACGTGGCCCTTGTTTGTGCTTTGGGATAGGAACAGACACCTGTTGCTGCTGGCTGGGAGTGGGATTTCAAGCTTCCTCATAACTGTGCCCTAGCTGGGAGAATTGGGGGGGTCTTGTTACCGTCCCCCTCCACTGAGCCAGTAAGGTTTCCCTTGTTACTGATGGCTCTTTATGTGGCCTTCCCTACCACCATCCCACTTAGGGGAAGGAGTCCTACTGCAGCCAGGTAAGGGTGGATGTCGAGGCTCCTCATGTACTTTTTCTGACACTGCTCCAGTTGGGGAAAGCACACCACAGTATAACCAACTGAGGGTGGACATCCATGCCACCCTTTTTTTAGTCGAAGTATAGTTGATACACAATGCTCTGTTAATTTCAGATGTACAACATAGTGATTTGACAAATTAATGTTATACTCACCACAAGTGTAGCTTCCATCTGTGTTGGTATTACAATACCATTGACCATATTCCCTATGCTGTACCTTTTCTCTCCATGATTTATTTGTTCCATACTGGAAGCCTGTATCACCCACTCCCCTTCATCCATTTTGCCCCTCCCCCAGCCCTCTCCCCTCTGGCAGCCATCAGTTCTCTGTATTTATGGGTCTGTTTCTGCTTTCTGTTTGTTCGTTTGCTTAGTTTTTTAGGTTCTACATATAAGTGAAGTCATGTAGTGTTTGTCTTTCTCTGTCTTATTTCACTTAGCATTAATACCCTCTAGCTCCATCCACATGCTTGCAAAAGGCAAGACTTCATTCTTTTTTGTGGCTGAGTAATATTCCACTGTGTGTGTGTGTGTGTGTGTCACATCTTCATTATCCATCTAGGGAGACCCTTGGGTTACCTCCGTATTTTGGATATTGTAAATAATGCTGCAGTAGAGATAGGGGTGTAGATATCTTTATCACTAGTGTTTTTACTTTCTTTGGGTAAATACCCAGTAGTGGAATTATTGGATCATATGGTAATTCTGTTTTTAATTTTTGAGGAACCTCCTTACTGTTTTCCAGAGTGGCTGTACCAGTTTGCATTCCCATCAACAGTGCAAGAGGGTTCACCTTTCTCTGCATCCTCACCAACACCTGTTGTCTCCTGTGTTGTTAATTTTAGCCATTCAGACCGGTGTGAGGTGATATCTCAATGTGGTTTTCATTTGTATTTCCCTGATAATGAGTGATGTTGAGATCTTTTCATGTGTCTTTTGGCCACATGGATGTCTTCTTTGGGAAAAGGCCTATTCAGATCCTCTGCCCATTTTTTAATTGGATTGTTCATTTGTTTTGGTGATTAATTGTATAAGTTCTTTATATATTTTGGATATTAACCTCTTAACAGATGTATCATTTGCCAATAACTTTTCCCATTCAGTAGATTGCCTTTTTGTTTTGTCAGTGATTTCCTTTGCTGTGCAGAAGCTTTTTATTTTGATATAGTCCCAACAGTTTGTTTTCACTTTTCTTTCCATTGCCTAAAGAGACATATCCATAAATATCTTACCAAGGCGGATGTCAAGGCGATTTTACTGTATATGTTTTCTTTTAGTATGGATTCAAGTCTCACATTTAATCCATTAATCCATTTTGAGCTAATTTTTGTGTATGGTGTAAGAAAGAGTCCTATTTCATTCTTTTGCATGTGGCTGTCTAGTTTTCACACCACCATTTGTTGAAGAGACTGTCCTTTCCCTGTTGTATATTCTTGCCTCCTTCGTCATAGATTAATTGACAGTGTAAGTGTGGGTGTATTTCTGGGCTCTCTGTTGTATTCCTTTGATCAGTGTGTCTGCTTTTGTGTCAGTACTGTGTACTGTTATGATTACTACAACTTGGTAGTATATCCTGAAATCTGGGATTCTGATACGTCTACCTCCAGCTTTGTTCTTCTTTCTCAAGATCACTTTGGCTAGTTGAGGTCTTTTGTGGTTCCATACAAATTTTAGTATTATTCTAGTTCTATGGAAAATACTCTTGGTATTTTGATAGGGATTGCGTTAAGTCTGTTGATTGCTTTGGGAATTATAGACATTTTCACAGTATTAATTATTCCAGTCCATGAGCATAGTATGTATTTCCATTTGCTTGTGTCATCTTTGTTTGTTTGTTTGTTTGTTTTTAATCAAGGTCTGATAGTTTTCAGAGTATAAGTCTTTCATTTCCTTGGTTAAATTTATCCCTAAGGTATTTTATTATTTTTGGTACATTCATATATGGGATTTTTTTTTCTAAATTTCTCTTGCTGCCACTTTATGGGTGTTCATATTCTTAAACTGTTTCTTGCTTCAGTTTTGGAAGGTTGGGTGTTTTGAGTATTTTGTCTATTTCATATAAGTTGTCCCATTTATTGGTGTAAAGTTGGGTATGATATCCCCTAGAAGGCTTTCCAGGGCTAAAAGGATCTATGGTGATGCCTCCCTTTTTATTCCTGGTATTGGTAATGTGCATCTTCTTTGCTTTATTCTTTTTTTTTTTTTAAGATTTTATTTATTTGACACTGAGCGAGAGAGCACAGGCAGGGGGAGCAGCAGAGGGAGAGGGAGAAGCAGCCTCCCCACAGAGCAGGGAGCCTGATGCGGGGGATCCCAGGACCATGGGATCATGACCTGAGCCAAAGGCAGACGCTTAACCGACTGAACCACCCAGGCACCCCTCTTTGTTTTATTCTTGTTCATGTCTTGTAAGGGTTTAATTTTTTAAAATTACTTCAAAGAACCAACTTTTGGCTTTGTTAATATTTTCTTTTCTTCTGTTTTCAGTTTCATTGATTTCTGCTTTTCCGTTCTTCTACTATGGGTTTAATTTATAACTTTTCGTGACAGAAGCTTAAATCACTGATTATAAACCTTTCTGAGAAGTTTTCAAATACACGCATTGAGAACTATAAATTTTCCTCGTGACTGCTCTACTTGCATCCTGCCATTTCCTGCATATTGTTTTGTTTCATTCACTTCAGATATTGTCCAATTCCCTTTATTTAGAATTGTGCTTAATCTGCAAATATTTGAGGACTTTCTATTAGTCTTTTGTCATTAATTTCAGATTTCATTTCTTTGGGGACAGATGGTATACTTGAAATTTATTGAGACATGTTATACTCTTTTCTTAAAGTTTTGAATATACTTTAAAAGGGTGTGCATTCAGCGGTTGGATGATGTTTCCATAAATATCAGGCTGAGTGGATTAAATAGTGTTTATATTCTTACTCATCATTTTTGTCTTCTTGCTGTGTTAATTATGGAGAGAAATTTGTTGAAATCTACAACTGTGATTGTCTGTTTCTCCTTTTAGTTTTGTTAATTTTTGCTTAATGAATTTTGAAATTGTGTTAGATATACATGTTTAGTATTAAGTCTTTTTGTCAAATTGACTCTCTTATTAATTATGTATTGTCTGTTTTTATCCCTGGTAACACTCCCTGTCTTAGAGTTTATTTTCGGCACAATATGTCTTTTTTCCAGTCCCTTTGCTTTTGATGTTTCTGTGTCCTTATATTTCAGTGTCTCTTATAAACAAGACATAGCTGTGTCTTGGTGGTTTTTTCTTTAATCCAGGCTGAGAGTCTGCCTTTAAATTAGAGGATTTAGTCTATTTACATTTAGTATAATTACTAATATGGTTGAGTCTATCCACCATCTTGATATTTATTTTCTGTTGATACCATTTGATCTTTGTTCCTTTGCTTTTCTTTTCCTGCTTCCTTTTTTTTTTTTTTTTTTTTTTGCTACAAGGTAGATCTCTTTGTATTCGTGGGTATTTTACACTGGTGCCATCCACTATGGTAGCCACTAGCCACATGTAGTTAAGTTGAAAATTCAGTCCCTCGTTATATCAGCCACACGCTGGATGCCCAGTAGCCACACATGCTTGTTACCACATTGGAAAGGAGAGATTACTGCAGAAAGTTCTAGATTGAGGTCAGGATTTATTTTGAGTCAGAATTACCCAGGGTCCAATGTGAAAAGGGCAACGTTCTAGTCAGAAGACATGTGTTCATGTTTTGTGTTTACTACTGATGGGCTTTGTGTCCGTAGGCCTACGAGATCCTGCTCTTAGCCTCCGTTTTCTTTTCTAAAACACACGGATAGTAATTCCTGCTCTTCCGCTTCACGGAGTGCTTGTGAAACAGAACACTACAAAATGGTTAACAGTCTTCAGGAAAACATTAAAGCTCAGTTCACTGTGTTTCTGTGTTTTGTCTGGTCTTTTAGGTTGCTGACGGAGCTGGAGTCCCCTTCTTGGTGGCCCTTTAGCTCCAAGCTTTGGAAGATGCCAGCAGAAACAAAGTCCAATGGGGGCACCTCAACGGCTAGTCCCAAAGCTCTTGGAAAAGAAGGGGTAGTGGTCCGAATTCCTGCTGTTATCGCCCAGGGAACAGCATCTCATGTTAAAGCAGGAAGTCTTACCATCCTTGTGTCCGGGTTGGAAATCCATGACTCGAGTTCTTTGCTCATGCACAGATTTGAAAGAGAAGATATAGACGACATTACGGTTCACACACCTTATGAAATTAGCATCCGCCAACGGTTCATCGGGAAGCCAGACATAGCTTATCGCCTGATATCCGCCAAGATGCCCGAGGCTGTCCCCATTTTGGAGGTGCAGTTCAGCAAGAAGATGGAGTTGTTAGAAGGCGGCTTGACACCCGGAAGTGCCAGCACGTCTTCCCCAGCAGAGAAGGGCTGCTATGTCTGGCAGGCGGGTGAGTGCGCGTCGGTCTCCAGGGACGCGGCCTGTGGTACACCGTTAACGTGCTAGGTCGCTGATAGCATCTGCTGGTTCTGTGCACCAGTGCAGACTGTCCGTTTGTTTGTAAATGAGAACACTTCAGACCGTTTTCCTCAGTACCTGCGACCTCAGACTGTGTGAGTCCCAGAGCACGGGTGTATCACACACTGGAGGGCTGTGTGGGTTTCCCCTGAGCTCAGCAAGGCTCGGTGGCACTTTCAGAACAGAGGAAGGCTCCACGGTAGGCGATTCCCCCTTTCCTCTGTGTGACTCAGGGCACCTAGCTGCCCACCCTGGTGGGTGTCCAGTCCCTCCACCCCTGACCTTGGCATCAGTCTGGGTCATCCCAGCCCGCCTTCCAGGGACATGTTTAGGAATCAGAATCTCTGAAAACTGCAGCATAGTTTTTGTGGGTTTGCAGGCCTCCGCTGTTGGTGAGGCGTGCTGTCCTCCGAGTGTCTCTGGGGAGCACGGAGCTGGGCATGGCCAGGGGTCGCAAGGGTCCCAGGTCGCAGGCCCAGCCCCAGCCTCGCCCACAGCAGCCTGGGGTCATCTGACTTCTCAGATTTGCCATCCTGATGGTATCCAGTGGCATCGTGCTGGTGTCTTTATTTTCATGTCTGATTGATTATGACGTGGAGCATCTGACGCTCCTTATTTGCTTTTGGGCTTCACGTGTTTCTCTGTGGATTGCCTATTCTGTGGTTTTTGTTTTTTTATTCTGCTGTGCTGTTTGTTTAGTCCATGTTGTAGGTATGCATCCCTCTTGGCTTTAGAAGCTACCACCTCTGCCAGACTGTCATTCTCCGTTACAGAAATCCTTAATTGGGTAAATTCCCCTTAAGTTTGTTTCTGCACCCATCTTAAGAAATCCCAAAGTCATAACATACCTTATTTTCCCATAGGTGATCCTATGTCTGTGTTATTGTGATTTTTCTTATAGACTAGTAGTCTTTCCTTATTGACTTTGATTGCTGGATGTCTGTTACAATAAGAGATATGCTTGCTTCTTTTTGTTCTAAAGTGATTGATTTCAGTGCTAATATGTAACCTGGTTCCCTAACACATGAATATTTTGATGTTATTCTACATGGCTTCACGTTTCAAAAGAAATTTACCTGAAAATAGATCTGTCCCATAAGCACCAAAATTTTGGAAGTGTTAATGTAAAAGGTAATTTTTTGGCATTTCCAGATTTTTCTTTGGCCCTTCTCAAGGCAGGACCGGGAAGCCCATAAAGGGGCCGAGAAGGGTGGGCAGTACCAGCGAGCCCAAGACCCTGATGAGGGAGGCGTCAGGCCAGGCCATCGGTGCCCCCGACCCTGCGGTTTGCCCCTGGGGGACTGGGGCTGGGCAGTGAGGGGACGCGGGGCTGTTAGGCCTGACGCAGAGCGCCTTCAGCCATTGATTCTGCTGATGGAGAACTCCCCGTGCCAGGCACAGTGCCGGGCCCCTGCACAGTCCCTCTTCTCATGGAGCTCCACCACATTCGTGGGTTTTCTGTGTACCTGGTGGTTCGGAGAGAGTGTCGCATGCCAGGTGGGGGATGCCAGCACACTCTGTGCAGGGGAGAAGAGGCTTGCTGGGCCTGCTCTGACCCCGAATGTCCAGGTGCAGCCAGGGCTGGAGAGGAGCAGGAAGTGCGTGCCAGGGCCTCTGTGGCCATGGTCCAGCAGCAGGAGGCTAGGTGAGTGTGGATTCCGCAGGGCCCGCCATCAGGAAGGGCACAGGCCAAGGCTGTTGACCACAGGTCGCACGTCTTCCTCCTCAGGGAAGCCTCACATAAAGTCAGCTGGTGCTGGGCCTTCGCCACATCCACAGACACGTTCTCAGCAGCACCTAGATTCAGGATGTGTGGCCTCGCCTGTCAGTCACAGACGGTGTGTGTGTGGAAGGAGTGGGACCACCTCCACGATGACAGATGGGTGTTCATCCTGGTGCTCACTTTAGCCTCTGGGGTGGAGGGGTTCCCACAGCATGTCTGCATGTGCATGGAGCAAGAGGTGCCCTGCTCCCTCGGTGAGGCCACCCTGCCCCGGGAGTGGATGAGGGCGCAGGTGATGAGGAGGGGAGGCAGGGGGAGGCCAGCACGTGGGCTTGGGAGCAGAACAGCAGGACCGCGTCTGGCTTGCTGGGGGCTCTGCGGGAGGCCTGGGCGGGCCCTCTCTGTCACCTCTGATGTTGTTTCCAGCACCTGTGTTTTCACTGTCCCACAGTGGAAAATGCAGAAGCGGTGGGGGTGGAAACCATGACTTGACATCACAGAAATTTATCCCGTCCTGCAGAAGCCGTGTTGGTAGCCTGCGTGGCCAGGAGGGGGCAGTGTCACCACAGGACCGGGTTTTCCTTGGGTCAGTGTGGGGAAGAACTTTCCAGAGACCTCTACAGTCCTTTGCAGTGTAGGTGGCCTGGCCAGCGACTGGCCCCGGGGATCTCCTGGGCTTCGGGGGCTGGGAATGACACAGGTGGCCTGCGTTCACCCTGGGGAAGAGCAATGGAAAATGGCTGTTTTCTTGCACAGCATCTTTAGGGTACCCTTTACATCTTAGCGTGGTTTCAGACTTGAAGAAGAGCTGGGAGGAGAGTCCCCCATGGCTGCCATCCTCACTGTCACAGCTGACGAGCCTGTCTGAGCTCTGTCTAGATCCCCTCGTGCTTGCCGTTGCAGGACACCGTCTGGAGTCCCCCATGACGGTGGTGTCTCCCTGGGCTCTTCTTACTCTGAAGGTCTCGACAGCGTGTAGGAGGAGTGCTGAGGTTTTGTACACTGTCTCGTGATTGCACTCTTGTCTCATGTTGTCTCATGGTCCTTGGGTGATGGTTTTAGGAAGAAGACTTCAGAGCATGGCCCATGCTTAGCAATTGATGGTATTTTGGGTAATTTTTGTCTTTGTTGTTTGCCAGCGGCCACCTTTGAGAGAAGCCTTCTCTGACCACCTCATTTAAGAGACAACACTCGCCCTCGGGTGCTGTTGCCCTCTGATTGGCTGCCGTGCTCTCACACTGGGACAAGTACTGCATCCGGACGGGACGCAGCTTGTCTCTTGATGACCACATCTCCAGCACCCAGAACAGGCCCAGGCATCCAGGAGCACACTCATCTGTAGGAAGTAGTACACATCTGGGACCCCGACGTCCCTGTGCAGGACTGCTCATTTAAGACTTGAGCTTCCGGCGGGGGAGTTCCCATCCCAGGACCTGGACACCACGCTGACCACAGACACCCCCCACCTGTGTGGTCTCTAGGACACGGACACCACGCTGACCACAGACCCCCCCCACCTGTGTGGTCGCTACGACCCCCACGCTGACCACAGACAGACCCCCTCCACCTTTGTGGTCACCAGGACGCTGACACCACACTTAACCACTCACAGACCCCTACTAGGTACTAGGACACGGGCACCCCCTGACCCCCGCAGACCCCCTGGAACCTGTGTGGCTCTCACGCACTTGATCTCTTCCAAGGACCCTCGGGTCCGAGGCACATTTGCCAAGTACGTTCCTTTAGCTGTGCGTAGTTGACTTTGCCCTCTCTCTGTTAGGCCTCGTGCTTGGGCATTTCATGATTTTTTTGCAAAGGGCTTCCCACCCCAGTTGTGTAAGCTTCTGGGGCTGTCCCTGGGTGGAGTAGGCATTTCCTTCCCTGTGTCATCATGAGGCTTTTGGGTCTCAGGGACAAGGAGGAAGATGTGCCCAAGCCCAGACAGGGTTGGGGGTGGGGATGGGGGGGTTCCTTCTCCTCTCAGGTCAGGGCTGGTGGTCCATGCTCTGACCTTCTGGTGAGGCCGGGGTCTGCGTCTTATACATGAAGGACACTGGCGTCCACAGCTGCCCCTACCAGCCCAGCTGTTGTTCCTGGAAAGTGAAATCACCCATAACTTCCCTTGTAGCTTGAACAATTTGTGTTGATTTTGTTTAACTGTGATAAGGACGTTAGAGACAGAAACCATTTTGTACTGAAGTTAATATTTTTTGAAGATGTTTCAAAGCATTGAAGAAACTGAGTCAGTGACTCAGGTCTCAACACAGAGCACCAGGGGTGCCGAGCTCTGTGCTACGCACGATCCTGCTGACCCCACAGCTTGTCGTGAAAAATACCCCCGACGTAGTGTGTTCCAGGAAGAAAAATTCCCTATTTTGGCTTTCTGGTTAAGTAAAACCCATTTTGCTAAACATTCAAAAAAAGGTGCGCGTGTCCCTCCAGAAGATAGCTCTAGGTCTTGGAATGGAAACCAGCAGTGCTGAAGCAGCCCAGGGCGGGCACCGGTATGAATCCGATGTGGGCCTTCGCCTCAGAGAAGCAGTGCGGCACAAGCACATGAATACCAAAGGTGTGCAAGAGGAACGATGCCCGGACCGATGAGCAAAGGTTGTTGCTGATGGGGTGGTGGAGTGGAGGACATGCCGTCAGACGTGTGCTGGGGGACATCTGTGCATGTGATGTGTGCAGATGGGGTGCCGGCGATGGGGGCCCCGGGGATGGCATATACTAGGGGTCCAAAGACGGGGCGCCAGGGTGGCTGGATCAGGAGTGCATGGGCCTGGGGCGTAGAAACCAAGGCAGAGGGGTCCAGGCTGTGTGCGGACTTGGCTTTCTCCTGCTGGGCCTGGGACCAGTGTGTGTCATCGCATTAGCCCTGATGACTTCCTGGAGGCTAATAATAGCCGGTGGAACGCGTTTGTGTTGCTATTTCTGCCGTCATATCTTCCAGCTAGCTCTGACGGTGTTCTGCTGCAACCGTCTGAGAAAAGTGCTTGTCACTTGTACCATTTTGGGTAGGGACATTTCAGAGCACGTGAGGCATGCTGCGGAGAGTTCCTTGCTGAGTAAAAGCCTTTAGGAGGCTGGAGTAGGCTGGGGCTTTGAGACTGTAGAGCACAGGTGGTGAGATCAGTTTGATGGGTTGCAGTCAGCTTTGATTGTTCTTAAAGAAGGACCTAGAAAAGCAGACATCTGTGTGCATGGTGCACAGTGTGCATGGTGCACAGTAAGGGTTTTTCTGGCCTCCTGCATGCACCTCTCACAGGCACACGGAGCATGGGGACATCCGCACACAGCCTCCTCCGGCAGAGGCAGGCCGGGACCCAGGGTCCTCCTCTGTGCGGCTCTGGCTCACGCACTGGTTCCTGAGCTCCCTCTGTCTGGCCTGGGCCCTGTTCCACTCCAGGACCATGAGAAGCCTATGCCGTCCTCATCCTCGCTGCAGCCTGCATTTATCCTGGACGAGGCCATGCTTCCTTTGCTCAGCCAGGCAGTCCTCAGGGAATAATGATTTGTATGGATTATTTTGAGAAATGAGGGTAGAGGCGGTATTTCTCTGTGTGCTGGGGCTGGCCAGCCAGGCTCATGCTCTTCAGGCCCAGTGGGGAGCTGTGGCCCAGACCTCGTTCCTTGTCCCTCCCCCTTCCTGACGGCGCATTCATCGGGTGGCTTCTGTGCCTCCCACTCCCCGGAAGCGGAGAAGTGCCCAGAGGAGCTGGTGCTGGTACCCAGACAGCTGTCCACTTTCCAGCATCCCAGTACACGAACGGGCTGTGCTGCGTAGCTGAGGTGCCTCGTCTTATGGGGAAGCGCAGGCAGCAGACCCTGGCCAATGCCCTTCTCTGGGCCCCGTGGTTGGAGTCAGCTCTTTAAACAGAGGACAGGTAGCATGCTACGGGGCATGCGAGGCCCCCTCGGCTATCACCACATCTCCAGGATGCCTTTCCGCTCCTCGGGGAGCCTGCCCAGGCGCAGGTGCCGTGTGACCGGGAACACCCCGGAGCAGGGCCCGGCCACGTGCAGCATTCTGACTCACCCCCACCTCCGTGCAGCCACAGAGCCAGCTTTGCTTGGCCCGACCAGCTGGCCATTTCCTGTGCTCTGGAGAACCACAGTGCTCTGTGGGGTGGCGAGATGTTGCTGCGGTTTCAAGCACTGTGCTTTATGTGCGTTTCACCAGGTCCCACAAGTGGCCTGTTTGAATCTCCCCACGTGTAGCCCTCTCCCCCAGAGAAGAAAAATGGCCGCACACGGATAAAGGGCCTTTCCTGAGAGAGCAGTTACAGAGCCAGACCCAGAGCACGGTCAGTGGTGCCCTCTCTGATCGGAGCGGGATAAGGACACAGCTTGGGCCGGGGTCGGAGTGAGCTCAGGCAGCCCCCACCACCCCGGCGGGCGCAGAGGCCACAGACCGGTGCGTGAGTCGAAAACACTGCGTCTGCTCAGAGAGCCCTGACAGCCTTACACATCACTCCTCGTGAAGTTCTGAATGTCCTTGCGTTGTTCATGCCTCCGGGAAGATGTCACTGCTGTTTGATTTTCCATTCCAGCGTCGGGGCTGATGGACCACGCCATGCACCGCGAGCCCTGCTCGGGAAGCCAGGAGGGCCAGCCGCTTCCGCTGCAGATGAGTGAGCCGCTGGTTTCCGAGGGGGACGCCCAGGAACTGAGACAGGTAACACGTGCTCACGGGGCCACCTCGCCCCTGCCTGCACACAGCTCCCCACTGCTTGATGCTGGCCTCTCGTCTACGGGGGGCTGCTGTGTGCCCAGCCACTTTGTTCTGCTCTCTGGAGCTGGAGAACAGAGAAAAGGAGCAGTGCCCAGTCCAAGTACCTGTGTTTCACGGCATGCACACATACCCGTGTGTCAGTGCACACGCAGTCAGCCTGCTGGCCGCATCACCTGTTGAACGTGTACATATGCATGTGCACGTCTGGGCTGTGTGTGTGCGGGATATGCAGGCACATGTGGACTTTCTGTGCATATGCATGTGCTCACGTGCTGTGAGACGATCCACATATACATGTGTGTGATATGCATGTGTTTGTCTTTGTGTGTGCCTGTGCGTGTCTGTCCGTGTGTGCATGTGTCCGTGCGTGTGTCTGCGTGTGCGTGTCTGTCCATGCGTGTGCGTGTCTGCGTGTGCATGTGTCCGTCCATGTGTGCGTGTCCGCGTGTGCGTGTCCATGTGTGCGTGTCTGTCAGTGCATGTGTGCATGTGTCTGTCCGTGTGTGTGTCTGTCCGCATGTGTGTGTGTCTGCCTGTGCGTGTGCGTGTCTGTCTGCTTGTGCGTGTGTCTATCCGTGCATGTGCGTGTGTCTGTCCGTGTGTGCGTGCATCTCTCCGTGTGTGTGTGCGTCTGTCCGTGCGTGTGCGTCTGTCAGCATGTGCGTCTGTCCGTGCGTGTCTGTGTCTGTGCGTGTGCGTCTGTCCGTGCATGTGCGTGTCCGCCTGTGCGTGTGCGTTTAGTCCGTGTGTGCATTTGTCCGTGCGTGTGTCTGTCCGCGTGTGCATGTGTCCGCCCTCGTTTGTCCACGTGTGCGTGTGTCTGTCCCTGCGTGTGTCTGTGTCTCTTTGCATGTGCATGTCCGCGTGTTGCTTGTCTGTCCCTGCGTGTGTCTGTCCGCGTGTGCGTGTCTGTCTGTGCCTGTGGCTGTGGCTATCCGCGTGTGCATGTCTGTGCATGTGTCTGTGTCCACGTGTGCGTGTCTGTCCGTGCGTGTGTCTGTCCGCGTGTGCGTGTATCTGTCCGTGCGTGTGTCTGTGTCCACGTGTGCGTGTCTGTCCGTGCGTGTGTCTGTCCGCGTGTGCGTGTATCTGTCCGTGCGTGTGTCTGTGTCCACGTGTGCGTGTCTGTCCGTGTGTGTCTGTGTCTGTGTGCGTGTCCTTCCGTGTATGTGTCCCTGTGTGCATGTGTCTGTCCGTGTGTGTGCGTGTCTGTCCGCGTGTGCGTGTGTCTGCGTGCGCGTGTGTCTGTCCGTGCGTGTGCGTGTCTGTCCGTACATGTGCGTGTTTGTCCGTGTGTGCGTGTGTCTGTCCTTGCATGTGCGTGTCTCTCCGTGTGTGCGTGTCTGTGTCTGCGTGTGCGTGTCTGTCCGTGTGTCTGTCCGCGTGTGCGTGTCTCTCTGTGTGTGCGTGTGTCTGTCCGTGTGTGCGTGTGTCTGTCCGCGTGTGCATGTCTGTCCATGCGTGTGTCCGTGTGTGCGTGTGTCTGTGTGCATGTCTGTCCGTGTGTGCTTGTGTCTGTCCGTGCGTGTGTCTGTCTGTGCATGTGCATGACTCCACAGGTGTGTGTACCACCAAACGTGCTCACTCTCCCAGGCCTCTCTCAAGGCCTTGACACTGGATTCTTGAGGATGCTTGTCACCTTGTGTCCGGCAAGTAGAAATCTAACGATATTTGACAGAAGTACTTTTAGGTTGTATTCCTGTGTTATTGCGGGACAGTGCAGTGTTTTTTCTTTTGCCCCTTTTAAGTAATTTTGAAGCAGATGCCTAGACATCGTGTCCCCTCGTTCACAGATATCTCTGTGCACGTCTTTAGAATGTAAAAACTGTTAGCAAGCCCCACACTGCGCCGTGCTCGTCTCAGTTCATCAGACGTACACCGTCTCGTTCAGGGACATGTGCTGCGTGTTTGTTCAGCTCACGACCCGCCTGAGGTCTGTACCGGCCGCTCAGCAAAGTGCCTCTTAGGATATGGCTTCCCTCTGTGCTTTCCGTTGGCTTCACGGTGTATTTGTAGGAAACACTCCATTGTTTCTCTGTTGAGGTTTTGGTTTGCAGCTTCCTGACTTGGTTTCCCTGGTTCCTAGCTCAAGGTGTCTTTGGATCCAGGCTCTGCTTTGGAGAGGCCGTGTCACCCATGGGACCGCACACCCCCAGCAGGGCACACAGGAAGACCGTGTGTCTTTCAAACCCGTTTTTAAAGAAGTCATCTTACTGACGTGTCCACATAGGCATAGCCTCCTTTAAGCTTGGCCATTTCCTTTCTGGAAAAAAGTGTTCATCCTTGCTATGGGATATTTTAAATATGCACGATTTGTCACTCTTTCCCCTGGTCTAACTTAGTCAGTTTGAGTAATGACCCACAGAAATGCTGCATTCTAGCAGCAACCAGAAAATTCTGCAGGTTACTGACTGCAGCTTTCGATGCTCGTGTTGACCCCAGAACACGAAACCCTCATCCTATAAAGGAAACGCTCCCTTTCTCCTGAGGGTGGATGTGAGCCCACACGCCTCAGGTTGACGGAATCTGGGACCCCTGTCCCACCCTCCTATAAGGCGTCCCACTGCTGGGTCAAGGCCAAGGCAGGAACGTGGCTTTTGGATGGGAAATGTCGCGATTTTACCTGTTAGTTCTGGTGGTGGCCATGTAGTTGGAGAGGGCCCTTCAGCTTCAAACCAGCAGTCTCTGCCCTAGAAGCCAAGGTGCTGGAGGTCACCATGATGAAGGCACGAGCCACTGTGTGGGGAGCAAGTCTCCTCACCCTCCTTCTCAATGAGAGTGTGTGACTGTGGGGTCGGTCCTAAGCGTCATCAGCAGGTTAGTGAGCCCTGTGGTGTCCGTGCTGGGAACAGCGGGTGCCGTGAGTCAGGTCGCTGGCCGCAGGGCGGGGAAGTGGTGACCCCTGAGTGGTGGGGCTGGGGGGAGCCGCCGAGGGAGAGCAGGGCTTCGCACCAGCCGGCTGCTGGCCCTCCTCCCTGCAGAGACAGCCCAGTTCCACCAGAGATCGTCTTCTGGAGGTAAAACACATGTTTCATATTTGGAGAAGAATTCCTAGCTGTGGAGTTGAAGCTCCAGCATAAGTAGGAATGAGGTAAATTTCTGGGGAAAACAGAAATGCAAGAACCAGCCCCCCCGTTCAGCTGTGGTTTCTGTGGCAGATGCAATTACCATCGTTACGTGGAAATGGGTTTTGGTGACTTACCCTGCAGTGGCATGCTGAGAGAGACAACCGGCTGTGGTTTCCCCGGGGCCAGTGGGCTCCGCGCCCTGTGCCAGCTCGCACTGCACCCCCAGGGCCTCCGGAGCGGCCGTAACTGCAGCGTCCCCCGTCCACAGGGAGGCCGTGCGGTGGCGGCGGCCAGGAAGGGATGGGTTTGGCAGAGAGCCCTGAACCGTCTCACATCTGATGTGCTGGCCTTTCCTGTCTCAGAACTGCCGCTTGTTTGTTAGGGATCTGTGTGGGCTCCCTGGTGGAGGCAGCCCCTGGCTCCCTCAGGGCATCACAGTGTCCCCGGACATTTCTTCCCGATTCCTTCTGCTCCACTGCCTTGTCAAGACCTGCCCCCGCCTTACTGCACCCAAGATGGGGATAACCAGTGAGCACTGCGAAGGGGACTCCAGTAGCCCTCCTGTCCTTCCCGTGACAAGGGGCACAGCATGTGGACTTGGGGTGTTAGGTCATGGTTCCCCATAGCGGGGGTCAGTGTGTGGACT